TATAAAAAAAAATAAACGCATGTTGAATGAAATTTGACTTTTATTTGTAACATTCTCTAAACGTGAGTTTTCAATGGAAAAAAGTCACACCACCAACAGAACAGACTAAAGCGTACTACTTGCTCATCTTTCTTTTTCTTTCATCTGGCTCATCTCCCTGTTTTCCCTCACCCATCTGTTCTCCCTCATCCTGATCTTTTTCTGTCTCTGTGTCTTCCCTGAACTCTTCCTCATCTCCTGTCCTGGTAGATGTTGATGGTATAGAGCTTCCCTGCTGTGACTGGCTACAATATATTAATAATAACCATCATGACAATAATAATATTAATATTGATAATAATAATAATAATAATAGCTTTAACAAATATGCCACATTAGTTTAAATAATGGGCTATTAGGGCAACATGACTGGAAGTCTTGTCACGTGGATATGACTTATGGTAGCCTACAAAATAATAGCTATTTTAATACCTGCTGCACAAACCACTTAAAAATAAAATGTGAACAGCTTTTAAGATTTTTCAATATGATTAACCCTCCTTTCTTGGTATTGTGCTGCAATTACTAAATCAATATACAATTAAGACAATAAAGAGACCAAAATGTGTTAATTTATGTTGCCTAACAAAACCTATACAACAGAAAACGTTTGTCTTAACACATAGATTTGTACAGAAGAGGATTAGGGCCACTGAAAAAAAAAAAAAGTTAACTGATTTTTAAATTTTATTTCAGTTTAACATGGGAAAAAAGTCAGAATTCTGACTTTTTTATTGTCAGAATTCTGAGATTAAAGTCAGAATACTGAGCAAAAAGTCAGAATTCTCAGCAAAAAGTCAGAATTATGAGAAAAAAGTTAGAATTATGAGATTAAAGTCAGCATTCTGACTTTTTTCCCATACTAAACTGAAATAAAATTTAAAAATCAGTTAACTTTTTTTTTTTTTTCAGTGGCCCTAATCCTCTTCCGTATTTGCAATTGCAAACTCTACCAAAATTATTTGTAGCCTATGTGGTCGTCCTCACGTTATCTGTCATTGACTTGGGCTACAGTGTAAAACTTTCAGAATCAGGTTTATTGCCATTGTTAGTGAAGGAGTTCACAAACTAGGAATTTTTTATGGTACAATCGTGCAACATGAAACATATAATATGGAATAGGTAAATAAAATTATAAAAATATCTAAAAACTGTGGGTATACGTCATGCAATAAAATAGACTAATGTATACACTTAAGATAAAAAATATGGATACAAAATATAAAAAGTAAAATAGCATCTTACAAGGAGACAACTAGTTTATCTGGTGACCAGTCGGCAAAATGTGTGTTTGGTGCTGCTGAATGAGACATTTTAATGCACAACAAAATGATTCTGCTTGATCTGTATATTACCTGGCTAATGGGGCACGGGAGAAGCAGCCTGTCAGCGACCGTTCCTGCTATCTGAAAACTGCTATGATGCTGCGCATCTGGCATGCCCTGCGGGCGACCGAGCGAGTTCACGTGACAAAGGAAGAGAGAGAGGCTGGTCGGGTGTGCGCAAGTAGGTCGGTCATTTCCGGGCATTGTTTCAGTCGTTTTTAATGGCTCAGGTTTTCAAAAGATAATTTCAAAACCGACCTCAGTAAAATCTTAATAATATTAATAATAATATAAAAAAAAAAACGAGTTTCAAAAGGGCATTTTCTTTGATAGAGGGCAAACTTCCTAGTGCTTTAGCACCACCTAGTGTCTATGTGTGCACGCCCCTGGATAGATGGATAGATGGATATCAGTGATTCTTGAGAAGAGAGACAAAACATTTCCTCTGGATAAAGCACAGAATTTCAATAAAATATAGACAAAATATAATTTCTTCAAATACTAAAACTAACCTGGGCAATGTCAGCACAACAATATATGTTTTCATGGTGTTTGCTGAATACTTTTTATTTTAAACTATGTAGTAGGTGTCTGTAAAAGCCCTTGACCTGGAGTAGAATAATAGTCTAAAGCAGGGGTGCTGAAGTCCAGTCCTTGAGATCTACCATCCTGCAATTTTCCGATGCATCCCTGCTCAAACATACCTAAATCAGATGAGTGGCTCCTTACCAGGCCCGTTTAGAGCTGACCCTGGTCTGTTGGAGTTAGGGTGCTTCTAAAAGTTGCAGGATGATAGGTCTCAAGAAATGGACTTGAACACCGCTGGTCTAAAGTAATTAAAGGAATACTAAATAATATATTATGACAATTGAGTATAAGTATCCAAATAAACAATTATAATTGTATCAGTAAGTTGAATTAAAAATCAGTTTTATATATGTTTCAACCAGGGACGTGGCTAGACCTATTTTAGGGTGGCTGAAGTCATCCCTTCGTTGGTATTAGCCACCCCATAATTATTTTGCGATTTTTATTGTTATTTTTTTATTTATTGATTTTTTTTCCATATAACCCCAAACAATTGCAGTAAAGCACTGAAAACGAGCCACCAAGAAGGCAAGTTAATCTGAAGATAAGTTCCTGTTAGTTTATTTACAAACACAATTATTTATACAATTATTAATATCGTTAGGATATTCATTTCCTTCATTGGCTCCGCGTCCAGCGTCACGTCACGTGGTACACGGCCATCAACTGGACCATAGCAGCTGTGCAGTGCAGCAACAGCGCGCCCTTTGAATCTCCACACAGTCATCGAGCTTGATTAGGAAAGTTATGGTTGCGTGCAGATACATACGGTGAGTTTGCCATTTGATGTCAGCGGTTTACATTTTCTTCACTTTACCTGGAGTGAGGAAAGAGACAATATAGGCCTAATAGTTTGTCTGATTCAGTAGGAATTACGTTACCATGGTGAACAAAGTCAGTGGTGTGGGAAAACACGATGTTGTTGTAGCCTACTAGCATCATTATAATAGTTTTGTCACAGGAGCAGTGATGGGCAGTAGCGCCGCTACATGTAGCGAAGCTATTAGTTTAACTACATTTTCAAGTAGCTTGACCGTAGCGTCGCTGCTTTATTTATCAAGTAACTTTCCTGTAGCGACGTTATTGTTTTGATTAAGTAGCGACGTAGCGTCCACAAACGCTACAAAATCCAGGGCAAAACTAAGAAATGAAACCAGGTTTTCTATTTCTAAACAACAATCAGCCACAAAACTACTGTAAATAGCAGTTTCAGCTGACGCTTTATAAGTGGCGTAGTAGCACAGGCACACTCCGTAGGGTTAAACAAGCGCACCTTTTCCGAGGCTGTCGTTCTATTGGCTGGAAAGGTTGCTAGGCAACGATCCAACTGCAGTCTGAGAGAGCAAAACAAATCCGCAAGCAGAGCGTAACTGAGACCCGTGCAGAGCGGAGATGGAGGCAAGCGAGAGGAAAAAATATCTGTGATAATATAGAAAATATCTGTTTAAATCTGAGAGAAGAAACAAAGATTTTTGAGAGAAGAGAAAATATTTGAGAGAGAGCGCATGTTTTGAGTGTGAGCATTATAAGTTTTGAGTGCAAGAAGATGAAATTCTTTTCTCTAATTGAAGTTATGTGCTCTTGCATTGTGGCAGGATAATTCTCCCATATCTATGTGCCACCAGTCTGATAGGGCGACACTGTGTGATATGGTAGTGCTTCCTTGGGTTGACTATAGTTCTAAGTTGTACGTTTCATATACTGTTGATTTTGTGTTTTCATTAATACATTGTACTTAAAAATACTTCCTTTATTTGCATTAAAACTTTGTCAGACTGATGTGAAAAAGTCTCAAGGATATCCTTCTTTGCAATGATGCTATTGCCTATTGCCTACTGTCCATTTATGCAACTTGTATTTTGTGGTTAAACTTTAGATTAAGCAGAAATCTATCAAAGATAATGCTGCATTTATTGTTAAGTTCCTCACATATATGTGTTTCTCTCTGTGCCAGGTGTAGAGAAAGACATGCCAAAGTCCAGGTCACACACACACACCAAGCACACACACAGAAACAGGGTTATTGCAAAGCAGACAGGGGTTCCTGACAGGTTGTGGGTGCAGGGGAGATGGGGAAAGATGAATGGCCAGGTTAAGGGTTTATGAAGATGTTGGGAGTCTGTTGGTTAGACAACTGTCTTCTGTAGAAGGTTTCCATTATGATGAGTGGCGAACCACTTGCCTTCTTCCATTTATGCAGTAATGCATGGCACCTACCATTTACTCTTTGTAATTTAGCACATTTTAACTGGTGTAGTTTAGTTGGTGAAGTAGCATTAGTGAGGGAAGTGTTTCCCAGGTATGTTGCTCTTAAAATAATGAATTTATAGACAGCGCCTTAGAAAGTGCACTGAAAAAATTTCGGCGCGCGCTACGCGCGCGCAATATCTTACCTAGGGGCTAAGCCACCCATGTCTCTCAAACCTAGTGACGGCCCTGGTTTCAACTTAATTGAAATAGCGTTGAAAGTTTTTGTCAACACCATCAGACAGTGAAAGGAATGAAAAAAAATTCAGGCATTATTTAGGGGCACCAGACAGTCTGAGGACCCCTTGACCACTTCCTGTTTCCCCCTTTACTACAATTCCAGTCCTCAGGCCCCCCCTGCCCTTCATGTTTTAGGTGTGTCCCTTCTGCCACACACCTGGATTGAATCTGAGGGTGATTAACAGGCTTCTTGATGGTCATGCAATCATTTGGATCAGCTGTTCTGGAATAGAGGCACATCTTAAACATGCAGAATAGGACTGAGGACTGGAATTGAGAGGCACTGCTTTACTAGGATGGCTGGGCTGCTGTGGTGAGCTTATTTTACGTTTTTAAGTTTCTTTCTGTTGTACATTCTGTCTTTTTCTCTATCTCTTTTAGCTGCTTACACACATGCTGCAGCTTATGTAATTTATGGTGCCTGGCAGAAAAGTGACATTGAAATACTTATGAGTTTAAACTCTTGTATTTTTATTAATTGTGTACATTATGTATTTTGAAACTTTGTTTTGAAAATATGTACTTATGGACTTGTTCTACATTTTCCAAATTATTGTATATAGGCTTGGAGGAGGTTCTTGAAGCCTTCCTTCGTTCAAGGCATGTTACAGAAGATGACATAAATCGGATGAAAGTGGATAAGGTGATGACACATTCAGTTAAAGTTTATAGTAAGACTACACCTTGTTTAATTATAAGTCTAGATACTTTTGTACAAAAACTGTTTGGTCATTGGGTAGTAATTTAAGTTAACTTTAAGATTGTTGTCCTGAAAGGAAAATTCTTTACCACTGACCACTACTCCAATTTCCAAGTATAATGACTATATAATACTCCAGACCTTGAGGGGCGATGTCCTGCAACTTTTAGCTGCATCTCTACCTCAACACACCTGAGTCAAATAATGAGGTCATTAGCAGGACTCTGGAGAACCTGACTGCACTTGGGAAGTGATTCAGCTGTTTCATGAAGTGTTTTGGACCAGGGACACGGCTAAGAGCTGCAGGACACCGGCCCTCGAGGATCAAGATTGCCCACCCCTGCAATACAGCATGTTGCAAAACATTATACAATCGTATATGATGTGATATAAAAGTATTGCACAGTATTTACTTAAAAGTACTTGTAATCTGTACATTTTCACATCTAATTGCAGATTGATAGAGGGGTCATTTGTGTGATGACGGACGAAGAATTTTCAAGATACATTCCTTCATATGGCGACCGATTGGCTATTGCATCATTTTGTCGACGAATGGAAGCTAACTTTGACAAGGAGGGCATTTTAAACAGAATTAGGCAAACAATTAAAACAAGGCGGATGATGAGCAAAAGACATGTCGAAGTACCCCAGCAAACATCTGTAGGAAATTCTGGCTTGATGGCAAGGCCTAAAAACAGCAACGCGGTGAAATCAAAACGCAGAATTGAAGTGGGAGGGCTGCACTTTCAAAGCGGGGATTTTCACCAAGTTAGGTCTAAATGTGGAGGTGGAACCAGACACCTTGAAATGGAGAAAACCACCACTGTGTCAGAAGTCATGACCACTGCAAAAGAGTTGTTTTTTCCTGGTGGACTATCATCAAAGGGCTCCATTATGGACTTCACACTTAGCATGTGTGACTTTAAAAGACAAGCTGTACCTCTAGACAGTTCTCTTTCAGAACTATATGAACAATTTAAATTGAAAATGGTACGGCTTTATTTGTGCACAAAGGAGTTGGAGCATTCATCCGAGGACCAAAATGATCTCTTTGAACAGGTAATATCTAAGCAAAACTGTTAAAAGGTGTAGAGCACAGGTATCAAACTCCAGTTCTCAAGGGCCTGCAACTTCTAGATGTACCTCTGCTGCACCACAGCTGAATAGAATAATTAAGGCTCTGGAGAACTGATCTACACAAGGAGGAGGTCTTTAAGCCATTTCATTACAGTGTTTTGTACCTGTGGCACATCTAAAAACTGCAGGACAGTGGCCCTTGAGGACTGGAGTTTGACACCCCTGTTGTAGAGTATATATCTAGATGTAGTATTATTTGACATCACAATCTTATGGATGTCTATGTATGATTTTTTTTTTCTTTTTTTCCTTATAGCCTCCCAATGTTGGAAGAGTTGCTCAACACTCAACTTCTGCCCTTTCTGCTGAGCCATTAACTTCAATGAAGTCTTTGCAAGGCTATACCTCAGGGGAAGCGGGGCACTCAAGCCAGTACCTTATCACAGATGTAGCATTGCTGAGTCCACAACACAGAGCTTTACCAGATGGAACTGAAGGTCATGATCCTGTGTATGTCATTGATGATGATGTGGAACTTTTACATCCTGCCTTGCATTCAACACCTGGTCCTTCAAACCAGGAAACTGAGTATTTCTATGGAATTCATAGTATGGAAAACCCAGTGGTAATGCAAGAAACCGAAACAGTGATGGCCAACTTCAACAGCGTTAATGGTCTGGATGAGATGGAGGATTCTGGAGTAGTTCAAATAGGGTCAAGGTCAGATGATGGTGAGCTTGCTTCTACGCTTCCCATGATAGACAGTCATCCTGAGATGGAAGCTGGAAACGTTTCAGAAGTGTTTTGTGTTAAGGTTTCATTTGCTTCTGTATATGATTTGTTTGCTTTAATAAAAATAAGATTACACCTATGTAATGTCACGAAGTTCCTAAATTAGTTTTATAAGGCTTTTCATTTTGTTTTGACAACCTTCCATAAAATTTAGAGTTCTTTGTATAATGAAACAAAAGATTTTTAAAATTATAATGTATATCCTATTTCTTTTTGAACTCTTGGTTATGTTATGAAGAATATGACAACTAAAATGTACTGTTCATGTTATGTTCCAGGCTCCACAAACAGCTGTATTACACATGATCCCTTCAACAGAAAATGATGCATTACAGTCTTCTACTGGAGGTGTAGTACATCCCAAAGAACCAAGGTATGCACATGTCCGGCGTGCCATGGTCATAGATGACCTTCTTAATTTGTTCATGGACAAAAGTATAATGGAATTAGAATTAAAAATTGAATTTAATAATGAAATGGCTGTGGACAACAGTGGAGTGTCAAGAGATGTGTATACAGCTTTCTGGGAGCAGTTCTTGGAGCTCTGTGAAGGGGAGGAGGAGAGGGTGCCAAAACTCAGACCAGACTTTTCGAAAGAGAGGTGGTATGCACTAGGCCGAATTTGGGCAAAAGGACTCATTGACCATGGTGTATTTCCATTCAGGTTGTCCAAGGCATTCATAGTTGCCTCTGTACTTGGTCTTCAAGCAGTAGAAGTTTTGATGTCCTCCTTTTCTAAGTATTTGTTGGAGAGCGAGCGAAGTACCATTGAGAAGGCTCTCAATGGTGTACTGGAAGAGGATGAGGAGGACAATTTGTTGGATCTGTTTTCACAGATGGGGGCTCACAGCATTCCATGTCGGGAAAATATCAAGCAAGCGATACAAGTCATGGCTCATAAAGTCATATTACAAGAACCAAAGTATATCATAGATTGCTTTAATGAAATTTTCAAAGACATTGCATTAAATCTGTCTCATCCAGCTGATGTCCTTCATTTATACAAGTCCAAAAAAGCAACAAACAAAAAAGTAGTTGACATGCTGCAAACAGAGGCTTTGTCCCTATCACAGAAAGAGCAGACAACATTCACTTACCTACAAAGGTACATTAGGAATGCAGATCAGCGCAAACTAGAGAAATTCTTGCGATTTTGCACAGGGTCCTCTGTTTCATGCACAGAAGAAATTAAGGTGACATTTAATGCTGAAACAGGTTTTGGGAGAAGACCTGTTGCACACACATGTGGAGCAATCATTGATGTGCCTTACACTTACAGTTCCTACCCGGAATGTAGAGCAGAGTTTGACAGTATCTTGGCAAGCAATTTCATGTTGATGGATATTATTTAAGCTTTAAAAGGTACTTGACATATTTGCTAAAATAAACACCATCATTCTGTATTGTCATACACCGTCTTCATGAAGCTGTGTGATTGTTAGTGGTATTCTACTTTCAAGGCTTAAAAGCTCCGCAATGTCAAAAGGTTTGTTGGCACGGAAAACCAAAGGGTAAATTTCCAATTTTGGTATAATTTCCAGAATTGTAATAACCTCCTGTTGCAAATAGACCAGTAGTTGGCTTTCACATTTGTTTTAATAAAGTTCTGACACTCGACTTAAATTTTTAAATGTTTTTATAGTCCAGGTGTTTACAGAAAAATGGTTGCAATACAACCAAATTCAGAGTTTGATAAATTCATTCTCTACCCTTTCTTTTCTGTTGGTATGCACAATGTTGACGACATAAGATGCTAACACTGGTTAAAAAGATGTGTTCTTTTAAAATGTTCTAAAGCAATCCAATGTTAAAGATCCAATGTTCAGGAATTAAATTAAAGAAACAATTTTCAGTTTTCTTGTAATTGACAATTTTATCTAAAGGTTCATGCTAATATTTGAGCAGTACAGTTGCTGTATTTTTCTCTTTATTGAAGTAGGTTTCGAAATTCAGTTTATTTAGATGGTTGGATAATGCAATGAAGTAAAAAGAATAATACTTAAAACACAACAAAATTCAGAAGGTTTGTAACATCCGCCAAGTTCGATTTTTCTAGTGACCTTTCTGTGGATTTTTTTTTCCTGTTTCTTGCTCTATTGGAAGGGCAAAAATGTTTTAAGCTATTCTTACAAATGAAGTAATTGTAACATTTGTCTTGCAAAGTTTTTATTTTTGTTACATGTTTGAATTTCCAGTGAATGTTGACAATAAATGTTTACACAATGATGCAATTTGTTTCCAGTGCTTTATGTAAATTATGAACTGTATTTTCAAGACTTAGTAATTTGATTTATCCACAGCTGTTAAATGTAATTTAACTGTTACTTTGGTATTTTGCTAAATAAATCAAACACATCAGGACTTCTTAAATGGAGAAATGTTCTCAGGACAATTTAGTTTTCTGCTTCAATTTTAATAAGAGGCAAAAAAAAAGTGTCTGATTTTCAAGTTTAACAATTAGAATGCATGTTGATATCTGATGATGGAAAACCACCAGCTTACTTTAAGACATTTGGAACCCTATTAACATAGCAGGCTCTTTCCAGTCAATACTCATAGTAATGCTCTAATGGCATCTCTCAGTAACATGTACAGTTTCACATAATCATATGGATCTGATGGTGTCATCAGGCCATACTCTGCCATTAAAACATTGCAAATGTCATACACAGATGAATCACATGGTATGGTCTGCCGAAAGGTGCATGCATCTCTACACAGTTGAATATGTTCAACTTGAACAGGAGTGAGGAAGTCTATAGTACTGTACAGTTCAGGTAGAGCATATATAACATTGGGCCGACCGCTGGGAACTTGCAAGTTTTTGGATGGCCTGATGCGGTGTGTGTTCCATACTTGTGCTGTCTCATCCAGCTCATCCTGCAACAAATAAAACCGAAAAATTGAGTACACTTTTGGTAACCTAAGCTGGAAAAAAGGCTTGAGCATAGTCATTGTCCTTAATAGTTGGTCCTTATTTGGTGTATTTTTTGTTAATGTAGCAATGTGGAGGAAGATTATTGCATTTTGGAGGTAAATTTAATTGTAATTAGAGCGATATTTTAAGTAATTTGATTTATGGTGAAGGATCACAATCTCAATGAGACACGCTACCCTGTCCTCAAAGCTTTGTGCAGGACTTGCACCAGGAGAAGAGAGGTGAACTGTGTTGGCCACAAATTAGAAATTTTCTTATAAACATTGCAAATATTACTGACTTTTTTTAAAAAATATATCATAATTGCTATTTAATGTCTATTTACGTAATTTCAGACTTGCTGTTTAGAACTGTCATTCATACAGTTGGTTGTTATAGATACGTTTTTTTTAGACTTATTGATTGTAAAAATGACTTTGGCATCTTATAGTTTGACTTTTGATACAGTTAGAAACTTGATGCCTATTTAAACGCCTACTGAGTTAAAAATGGTTCACTTTTGGTTTAAAAAAAATAGCCAATTTATTGTATCTTAATTATATTAGAGGTTTAAATGCAACTGTCAAAATGATTCTTTGTTGCAGTTATAGTGTAAGATCTCACGGTTCTACCTGCTCTTTCGTGTTATGACACCAGTGCATTTTCAGCACCACAGATGCGTGAACAGCGACCACGATAGAACAGCTAGCGAACCGCTTTATTTCATATCATAATTTACTACAGATAAACTCGGAGACATTTACTCCTCTTTGTAGAAAAAAGATCGCTTTTGTTTATGGGTGTGCGCTCGTCGTGCATTGTTTCCATTTTCAATAGAAAGTTAATGATGTGATGAAAGTATGCACCTAGGTGACGAAATTGAGCGTCCGCCTGACATTCAAGTTTTGTACGAACAGAATACTAGACAGTGAATGCCACAAATAACCAGTGGCACCTTGCCCAGATACCATTAATGCTGATTTTAATGTTCATGCATTTCTGACTTCCTTCCCTACGTCATCTCTTATCCATCATATAAATATTACATTTGATTCAATTAACTCACCTGTATGAGTCCCATGCAGCAAAACTGTAGAATGCTTTTGTCCAGAAATTCCCCATCGAAGAATCCATTGTCTCTGATGTCAGCAAACAAGGACAGCCAGAACTCCATACACTCCGTACGCAGAAAGCGCCACCAATATTCCATCCTTTGATTTGCAGTGCTTGCTCCTTCCAGGTAACTTTCAAGAAGGTCGTTGGGCTGAGTGGGAATGAGGAATCTCTGGAAGTCTCTGACATAAACATTTTCTGTACCTAGATCCCCTCTAACAACTCTCGGACACCCTCCCAAACGCTTTACTGCTTCAGAGTAATATCCTCCTATCAACTTGGTATCACTATTTGTGGTGTATGCATTGAGCCAGATAATCTTTCGTGAAAATCAATCTATGCTTCCGTTAATACAAAAGCCAAATGGCTTCAGTTTATCATAAGAGTCAATGTGCCAAATGAAGTTCGGACCCTTTGAGAAGTAATTTCTTCTTTGAAGACGTCTGGCTTGCCTGGAGGACACTCCGGCTGGATCTAATTCCCTCATGATCAGACGAACATCCTCCTTTCTTACACGAAGTCCATGTTGCCTGCATTTAGCATACATCCAACGATATCCG